AAAGATGTCTGCTCGTCCACGTATATATAAATAAAGAATAATTGTGAATGAAATACCTTTGCTCAATGGATGTACAGTATATAATTAATAATCTCTCATTATTTACTAATACCAATTATTTGCAATATTCAGCAAAAATAATCAATAAATAAGCAAAAATCCATATGGTGGAGTGAGTATCTTTCCATTCTCCGTAAAAAAATAATCACAATATGGGATTACATTACCTAAATACCATTTTAACTTAAATCAAAACATAAAAAACATACATTCAGAATTTACTAATGACAAAAATTTAGAACGCGAATCCTCGCCCAAATTTCCAAGGGTCGTTTTCATTTATAATAAAAATGGAATTATAACGTTTTCTTATTCTTTGTAATATATCAGATTCACTAGCTCAGTTATGTATTTTTGGATGTAGTTTTAATATCAATTAAATCATGTGATCGGGAATTAATAATTAATACTGAGTTTATGAATTGTTTCAGATCTTTTTAATAAATTTTTACAACATTTAAATAATATTATATCGTCGGAGTTTTAGGTCGTCAAGAATATTTTTCATGCACAAAATCTTGAGAACCCAAACATGCAACGTTGTGGTGGTCAGCCAACTATGTACCTGTTCATATATGGGAGGAGGTCAGTAGAAAAGGGGGAAATCCAAATTTTGAACAAAATTTATATTATTGGATGATCTCCATCTCCTTTTCTACTGACCTCCCAATATAAAATAATTAAAAAAAAATTTTTTGTGTAACATAAATTGCCGTGATTTTAATTAACGTAGTTCGATACAGTATTTAAAAGATTAAAGATTAAAATGGTTTTAAACAGTTATATTGATGTAATAGTTTATTAAATTAATATAATATTTTATAAATGGGTCAAAGCATTTTATTATTGTAAAAAATTTATTAAAAAGATCTGAAGCAATATCATATCTCTATTTCGCAGTATTAACGATTCCTTTTTTGAAAATTTGCGTTCTATAATTTTTTTGAATTATTCATTAGTTAATTCTGAAATGTAAGTTTTATGTTTTGATTTAATTTCAAATGGTATAAATTTTTACAGTTCATTTTTTTATTACACAAATTACTATATTTAGGTGTTGTAATCCCATATTGAGATTATTTTTTTACAGAGAATGGAAAGGTACTCCACCATATCGTGGATTTTTGCTTTCTCTCACCAATTTCGAATTTACTATTTATTTATTGATGATTTTTGCAAATAATTGGTATTAGTATAAATAATGAGAGACATTAATTATATACTGTATGTACATCCTGTCCTGTACATCCATTGAGCAAAGGTATTTCATTCACAATTATTCTTTATTTATATATACGTGGACGAGCAGACATCTTTCATAATTAAAAATAATTTAGGCGAAGCTGTATAAAGTAATAAAACGAAATAAAACCAAACGCAAAAAAAAGGTTCAAATACTCAAGATGAAGCTTAGAATATTATTTTTGAATGCATTATTTATTAATGTAATATACCAATTATTGATATTTGCGTATTTTATCTTATTTAAAATCGTTTTTAGTAAAGTTATCATTCGATAGTTAGATGATCGATGAACCGCCGATCATTTGGTATAATGGTTGAAGAAACAACTCGATTTGATGATGATTCTGTATTAATATCACTAGCTTCGGATTTACGAAGAGTTTTTTGACGATACCAATACGCGCAAATTGCCAATAAAAACAGACCCAATATACTTCCAACAATTGAACCAGTGATAATTCCTTTTTTTATCTTTCCTACGTTATCTGAAACTTTAGGAGCTGATTTTCCATTACCTTCATTCGATGGAGATGAACCACCAGTTGTTGGAACCGCCTTACCTCGTATTGGTTGCATAAAGTTCAATAAACTATTGTTGATGTCATCATAACTAACGTCAGATATTGACATTCCTCCGATTGAATTTGTCATTGCAAATTCTAACTTACTATGCAACGAAACAAAATCTTCATAAGATACATAATAATAAAAATTAGGAGCAACTTTAGTATCAACAACGCTATATAGCCATGGAGTTACGGAAGTATCTGTTTCTACAAATTTACGTGTCCAATTAAGATTACTTTTAATAGAACAAAATCCTCCTGATGGATCTAGAACGGATTTTGAAAGATCTCTCCATAGCCATAAATATAAATTAGAATCAGCTCCAGAACAAAATTCTCTGATTGGCTGGATTTGATCAATTAACTTTAGCTTGTTAAAATCGAATAAATCAGCGGATTTGGGAAACTCAACAGTTTGAAATTGTCTAATATTTTCGTTAGGTACCATTTGAATGGTATTCCCAAAATCTACACCCATAATGATTTTTTTACTATCAATTCCACCAAGATTATTCCAATCTTCATATGCTTTTTTGTATACATCTAATGGAGAATTTGGATGTGATTTATAATTGCCATTGTTTGGCTCTTTTGAATTTTGATATAAACTATTATGATAGGTTTCAATGTTAAGATAATCAATTGCACCATTTAAATTTCCAATTACATCTCTACCAACTGTCAACATTAAAGTTTTAACACCTTCCATTCCATTCAATGCAACTCGAATGTTCTTTAAAAAATTAATGATTTTGTCATCATTATTTTTATCCCATATGAATTCATTAGGATTAGGACCTGGATTAGGACCTTTACATAAACTTCCTCTCATTCCAGGATATTCAATGTCTATACCATCTAATTGATGATCTTTTATAGTTGTAATTGTTTCGGTAATAATTCTATTATATTCGACATTACCATTATCATCTTTATCTTTATCATCTTGCGGTTGCGGCCATTGTTCAACATTATAATTTCTTATTGAAAGAAGAATCTATATTATAATAATAATTATTAAAATTTTATCATATTTGAAAATTTAATACTTAATATAATGCTTACTTTAGTAGACGCCTTAGCATTGTCTTTATATTTAATTAAATCACCTATACGATTTAATTTGTTAACATCGTCTGGACGATGAATGTTATACCATTCTCCTCCTCCTCCTCCTTCATTTGGATATTCTAAGTTGCAAAAATGAATTTTAAGTAATCCATTACAGTTTGTACGAAATGGAAAGGAAAAAAGTTTCTTATTCTTACCAATAAAATTTATAAAATCATAACTATCCCACGGAATTTTTGGAATTGGAGTTGTTTGAGTTGGTGTTTTTGCGCTAAAAAGTTGAACATATCCAATTGTTTTTAATTGTTTATCTACTTCCGTAACTATATTTAAGGGTTCAAGCGTACAACCGTTGTTATTCGATAAAGTGCCTCCATCCTGTGCTAAAGTTATTAATGCTACTGAAAATAAACCGTAAAGGATAAAAATTGCAAACTTATTGAAAAGTGGTGGTAAGAAAGAAGATATTTTTAACATAATTATTTAACTGTATTATTTATGCTTACTTTTCTCCTTTTAACTTAAAAAATTTTTTTATGATATTTAAAATGAAACGTTGAACGCATATTGAACTATCCTTATTTATGATTATTAACTGCAAACATTTAGGTTAAAATTAGATTGTGACCAATAAATTTTGAGATTTGTGTTACAGGAAATGTCGGCAAAATATGCAGATGATGCAGATCTCTTTGTTCACATTCAAAATATGCAATTTAAATTTAAGATTTAGTGGTAGATAGATCTTGCATCAATATAAATTCAATGAACTTTCTTTCTTTTTCAACAGCATCATTTATTCTCTGACTTCATTTTAATATTTCAATGTTGTGCCATTTTTAAATATTTTACACAACTAAATTATCATTACATCTTGATGTTAGTATGATCAAAATAATCTATTACGGCTATTGTTTTTGATTGCTGATGCATCTTTAATAAGTTGATGGGTAGAAATTACAATGGAATTTTATTCAAAAGATTAATTTCTTAATTTCTTAAATAATTCTTAAAGAAATATTTTTTATAAATAAAAGGTTTTAAATCATTCTTTACACATGTTCTGTACGTTTTGGTGACATTTTTCTGGTGATATAGTTAATTGATTTTTCTAATTTGAATTAATATTTTTGATTTGCCGGCGTAGATTCAGATCATGTGATTCTCGATATTTTATTAAATTATTAAAATGAAACAAAACCAAAGATATATTAGGTATTCCTGGTTGTTTCAATGCAAATATGCATGTGCATGTAGGGATGTTATCTGATTAGTTTGGTTAGTTTAGGTTTAAAAACCTTTGGTTTGACTTAACTATAGTTTATTATATGCAGTTTAATGTCGTGATATAATTTTGTGCATGTAGTTTTTATATAATGTAAATCTATTTTTATTATTTATTAATTAAGCGATACAAAATTAATCTTATAGTTTTATAAACCGCTATATCAGTTTTCGTTAATTTCATTAAACAAAAAAATATTATATATTTTTAAAATCCGTATATTTATAAACTATCATTTTCGCCAATTTTTTCAACTATCCAACTTTTTAAACACTAGGTAACGGGAACCGTTAGGAACATCAGAAGCGTTAATCAACATAAAAAATATCTTTAATACTGTATATTTATAGTTAAAAATACAATTAATTAAAAAAATGTCTGTATTACTAACTTTATTAGAATAATTTAATCGTGTTCTATAATTGCGCCACGTTGATCTTTTTTAAATAGTTAAATAATGTTCGAAAAACTGAAAAAATTTGTGTTACACAAAATGATTGACAGAAATGTGATTGGCAGATCACGCGTCGTGACAGACACCACATGCATAGTTTCAGC